TTTAGCTTTTAACTCTCTAAGAGCCACCTTGACCAAAATATTAAAAAAATATATATATATTTAAAGTCCTGATTGGTAAAAGTTCAACCCAAATATTAGTTAGAGGAGCAACCTGTCATCTTATATATTGTTAACGAAATCGAATTCCCATACAAATCTAAGTCTGCGTTCTGTTCCTATGAGTTTTAATATTATTTAACCGAAGCACAGTGGTCGGAGAAGCCATGTTTTATGCGAAAAATTAGAAAGGCTGTTACGATTATAATACTACTGCGGGATCGCAGTATTGTTGTAATGCTAAATCCGAATATGCGATACAATTTATAGTTTAGCAGTTGAGAGCTGTCAATTCAACTGCCGATTTCTCTAAAATTAACAAAATCTTTTTGAAAATACCACTGATTATGTTTTTTGATTTGCTGATCACGAATTTCATGTCAATTTAAAACCTTGACAGTTGACAGCTGCCGAATGGACTGTGAATTTTTCTAAAATAAGACAGTATTTTTCAAAATGCCACTGAACAGGCTTTTAGACATGCTAATCACGAATTGCGTGTCAAATTAAAACCTTCCAAAATTTTATAATATACGAGGAAACATATCTAAAATTAATTTGTGATGAAATTATGAAATAATAACAGTAATTATATTTATAAATTAGGGATAGTTGGGGGCGTTTGCTATATGCTCAGCCCAAACAATTTGATCTAGGCCCCAACAGTTTTTTTTAAGTTTTCTTTTTATTTCATACGAAATTCGTCATTTCCAAAATTACAGTTTTCTCATTTTTAAATGAACTTCTTCAGGTATGAATGTCTGGAAATTTCGGACGCCATACTGGATTTTTGTTTGAAATTTGTTATTAGCGAACTTGAGAACCGCTAAATAGCAAATTTCACGAAAATTCAGTAATTTGTATAATTCTTGGACGCCATATTGGATAAGTTATTGGATTTTTGACCCTCGGCCCTACAAATTAGTTATACCTTTTTGAAGAAAATATTTCTTGAAAAATAAGCCGTGTTATTAAGGTGTTCATAATTTAGCAACCCAGATTTATTATGTAATATCTCAAATGAAATCATCATTTTACATGTTTAAGAATTAAGATCAAACCAGTAATTAATGTTATAATTGAACGTATCCATAAAAAATTGTTAAGAAAGTTATCAACTCATAACTGTTAGAGCGCACCACGATAGAATCCGTTGAATTAAACGGATTTAACGGCTTTCTCAGCAGATATTATTGTAAGCACTTATCAGTTTTAAGTTCGTTGGACNACCACTGTGCGAGAGGGTATATAACCCCACCTAACAATATCAGTGACCTAGACGAACAAGAGATGCTGATGGACCTTAAAAACGTCACAAGCAAAATATAAAAGCGTATGAAAAAGTGATCTGGTCGAACTTCGAACACTGGGCGATACTAGTATTGATTTAATACATAGAAAGCAATATCGATATTGGCGATTCTGGCAATTGTTTCGATTGCGATTTATGGTTAATAGTATCGGAAATATTGATAGAGACATATATCGATAATATTACCGATAAATAGGTCTATAAAAATACCGATAAATATATACATATATCGATGTAGATAAATTTGTTAAACACACTTACAAAGTCAATGGAATTTCTGATTAAAAACTTGAAAAGTTAGGTGGTATGTAAATGCATTTCATTGTCATGTATGTATGTACATATGAGTAAGTACAAATACAGTACAGTAAAACTCACAAAAGTTTAGGCACAGAGAATTTTTCACAATGTATGCAAAGTTTTTATTTTAATTGCTTTTCTCTAATTAAAAATAAAGTTTATACAACATCAAAAAACATAAAATTAAAGTTTCTTGATTGTAGTTGCCTTAACACATGAAAAAAGCGGAAAAAGCAACAACAGTTTACGTGGCGACCTTAGCTCAGTGGGTGGACTACTGGCTTGGGTCGTTGGATCGAATCCCAGTGAAGAAGTCTGATGAGAAGATGGGGTGAGATGGGAAATAGCAGCTATAACTTCTAATCGTCATGAAAATTTTCAACTTTCTAACCGGATTTTTTTTTTTTTTTGATTTTTGATTATTCAGTTTAGTCGCCTATTAATTTAAGTTTTAAAGTGCAATTTTGAAGTTGCTAAAAATTTCGTTGATTTTTGGTAGTTTTTTTTTTGCTTTTTTTTTATATGGAAGAGATTAAAAAGTTGAAAATTTTCATGAAATTTTTTTGAACATTCCTGAGTTTTGCACAAAGTTTATTTATATATTTTTTGTCGTAACTACTATGAACTACATATATATGTACATATATTTATATAGAAAATCGGCGTAGTGAAATTAAAATAAGAAACTTTGCATAGATTGCGAAAAATTCTCTGTGCCTAGACTTTTGTGGTTGACTGTACATAAATGCAAATGCACATATGTATGTATGTCTAAATCTGTGTATGTTCTTTTTTAAAGTTACGTATACAACCTTCATTTGAATTAAAATCATGTGTCTAAAACAAAGCTCCAAACTTTCACGTGAATCCAATCAATTGTTTTCGAGATATCCTACCTTTATTTAACGGCTATCTGGCCCTTGGGACTGGGAGTGTTTAGCTTTATATGAGTTTTTCTTCAAATTTCTGCTCAAAGTGGTTTATGCTCGCAAATGAAAAATGTGTTTATGTGACAATAAAATGAAAGGAAAAGTGAAAAAACATTGCAAAACAGATCAACGGTTATCTTGACGAAAAAAACAAAAAAAAAAACGGTAAACGCGACAGTATTACGATAAGCAAATTATGCGCGCAAATAGCTAAAGCAAATAATGACAATTGACAAACAACTAAGTAAAAATAAGAGCTGCAATCGATCGATCGCAATAATCGATACAAGTGACGTGAGTAAGCGGAGCGCGTATTGAAAGAGAACGAAAGTGGCGCCGGCAGCGACATTGTTAGGCAATATTTATACATGCCTGCAGAAAAAGTGTACTCGAAGTAATAAGTAAACTACAAATGAATGCATTTTATTTTTTCCCCTACAAATAAAGCTCTCGAAATTCACCAAACACCAGCAGTAATCAAAACATCCCTAGAAATCAAAAGAGAACAGCCGGAATATTTCATCAAAGTTAGAACGTCAAAAGCCCCAAAATCATCAGCCAGACCACCACCACAACCAGCGTCGAAAATCAACAATAGCAACAACAATTGACAAACAGGAACGACGTGAAGTGAATGCATTCAGTGCGATTGGACAACGAAAAGAGATAAGCCGACATTGAGCAAAAAAGAGTGCCGTCGTCAACTTACACAGGTCATATCAAACATACAGTAAGCAAAGCAATTTATTCACAGCAAACAAATGGTTCGTAGATGCACTTAAAAACAGCTCCATTTAAAAAAATAAAAAATACAAATCAGTACCTAAATATGCTTCTCAAAAGCTCAGTTACTAATCTAGTAATTTTGTAGAAATTTTCATCATCACGTCAAGCGTCAATTTGTGTGCTTCAGACCAGTTTTCCGCAACGCGAAGCTAAGCATATCATTTGATTGCCATTGGATTTGTCCTGCCCGCCGTCGTCCTTTGTCTGAACTTTAAAGCATACCTATTCACTCATACTAGTGGTACGAGCCTAACAGTGTCAACATAACTAGAGAGTAAGTAGATCAAAGGTTGAAACGACAGTGATTTCATGAAAAAATGCCATTATACGGTATCATCACCATAATTCACAAAGGCCCTAACCAACATTTTTTTTTTTTCAAAGGATGACGTAGGAGATTTGGAGAGAGTAGTTAAGCATACGAACTCGCTTGCGGTATGTTTTTAAACAATCCGTATTAAACGGTACAGCGGCCAACCTACGTCTACGCTACGTCGTTGACTGTTTGAGCTTTTAGTGCCAAAAACAACAGAACTAAAGCTCAGTTATGCAAGACTTAGACATAGACTTGACTTGAAAATTTTATATCTGGCAAATGAGCAGGCGTGTATGTAGTTACCAAAAAAAACTTCACCTAAACACTTGCAGTTTCTATGATTGCCAGATGAATTACATTTATACAAAAAATTATACTTGTGTGGCATATTTGTAGGGCTTTTATTAAAAAATAAAATGGCAGCATTATTCACTCACGGCTCTCTTTGCACTTTGAAGTTTAAAAGCTCAGTTAGGCAAGACTCAGACTTGACTTGACTTACCTAGAAAATTCGGCAGCAGGTGCGTCGTGACTCACGAGTCATTTGTGTACGTGTTGACTCGCCTTCGATTATACACAGCTGAATCATTCAGAGTCATGACGGGAGTCATGTTGGTTTAACTAACACATATTTATTTTCACAAACACATCCAAACCGACTCACGAGTCAGACGCACTGTGTATTCCGCCTATTAGGAACGATTACTCTCCGTGTCATCTATTGCTTTTCTCTTTTTTTTTTTTTTGATCCTCAGCATTTGTATTTGTACCTGCAAAATTGTAAACGTTTAATTTGTTTGGGGTAAAATTGAATAAAAACTACAATTGAAATAAATGGTTTTAAGCGTATCAAATACTGATTTTGATTTATTTATTTTCTGTCTTTATTTGAAAGTTTGTTTTTCGAAAGCCATATGACTTGCATGTATACAAAAAAAAATTGTAGGCATATTAGGAGGATTTTTATTAAAAATAAGTGAAAACACGATATGGTAGCATGATTCTCACACGGCTCTCTTTGCACTTAGAAACTTAACTTAGAAATCAAAAATATATAGTTCCCAATTTTCTAAGTGAAGTTGTTTTTTTTTTTTTTTGGTAACTACATACACGCGCTGCTCATTTGCCAGATATACAATTTTCAACTCCAAGTCAAGTCTAAGTCAAGTCCAATTCTTGTATAACGGAGCTTTTACAAGCAACTTTTTAAAAAGCCCTCTCTGCCCTTGATACTCTTTTTTATAATGTTTTTTTTTTGCTGTAAAATAAAAAATTTGTTGGTTAGGGCATTTGTGTGTTGTATGCACGCTTCTCTTACTTACGCCGAATGAAAATGTTTTTCAAGCACATTGATCCTATCAGATTTTTTTGTCTAGTTAGTTTTTTTTTGCCTAGTTACTCATTCCGAATTTAAGCAAAATCTAAGCAATATTTTTGTAAACCCAATGGTCTCCAGAAAAAAAACCCTATGCATTCTGCTGCTAAATCGTCGCCATCGCATTAATCCATATGTAGATCTTTCGAACACTCCAAGGGCCGCTTCATAATGGGTTGCTGTCATCGTCCACGTTTCTGTACCATACAATAGGAGGCGCATAATAAAAAAGGCTGTGTTATTTGTCTTCGTCGAGAAGGGATCTGACGTTTCTGTTTTTTCGATTTGAAGCAGTACTTCTTAGTTGGAGTGATTCTCCTGGTCTATAAGTAAATTACGCTATCTATGCACATACTTTTTCGAGAGCAACGTGAGTTTGCCGATTATTTTTTTATGAATCGAGATAGATATAGGCATATATTCACCGAAATACTCAGAATGAAGAGACGACTCGTGGAAAATTTGAGATATCTCAACCAAATTAGGTATGTACGAGTATGTTGCCTATTGTCCGAGGTGGGTTAGTGTTGCAAATGGGCGAAATCGGACGGTAACCACACACCTCCTATATAACGGTATTTTCGAAAATTGCAAAAAACTAAGATATTTCCGCAAACACGATCCAAACTGTTGAAACTTGTAATGTGAAGTAGAATTTTGGCATAAAATAAGACAATTTGGAAAAATGTGCATGGCACCGCCTACTTATGACCACAAATGTATGCCTCCGTAACCGGTTTATCAATTTCAACCAAATTATATAACCAAGGCCACCCCCCAAAATAACGGTAATTAACAGAAACTCGATATCTGCGATATATACACTTCTATTGAAGCTACTTCGCTCAAAATTTATATTTGCCATAATATCTTAGCCAAAAATTAGATTATTATACATTTTCGTATAATGGGCGTGGCATAGTCTACTTTAGACCACAAATGTGTATCTAGGTAACCGATTTATTAATTTCTACTAAATTCGGTACACCGATTGCCTTTGTTACAGAAAAGCTATATGTTGAACATATTTGGGCTAAAATTACGCCTTCTTCCTTCACGGTAAATTTCACAAATACCAAAATTACGATATTTCAATAACTATGGATCTAAATTGCTCCAAGTTAATATTATAATAATCCCTTACCAAGAAATGCGATTATTTAAGACTTATCCTTTAGGATCGCCTTTGTACTGCTTTTCCTGCAATCTAGATATGCCGTTGTCCCTCATAGGCAACTCTTCGTTTATTTTTTCTTGGATTTTTAATAATTGCACAAACATTGCCGACTAGGTGGGTACAGTCATTCCTACGACAGCCGGTCGGTTTTACCCGGCTAAGGGCTGTTGCTTCGGCGATCTAACCCCGTTAAGGTCGGAGAAATCCCTCAAAATTTGTAGGTCCGTAGGGCTACATCTGCTTCGCGTACTTCTGCTCAGGGCTGGTATCGAGTCAAATCCTGGGCCAAAACCCTACACCTTCTGCGTGTGCCAGAGACGACTACATCATAACTCCACCTCTTTCAGATGCAACTCCGGTAAAGGCTGGAGTCACCTACGAGTTTGCTCAGGCCTTACGACTCACAGACAATGGACCACCTCATTCGTGACCCCTTGCTGCTCAAACCGTGCTGCCTCTACAACTTAAACACTACCGCATCCCAACACATTACAATAGACAACACCACAAACCACACCACCAACACAACCGCACCACCACCCACACGCCGCCGCCAACAACACTTGGTTCATCCGACCATCTGATCGTTGTGTCAGTCCAGGCTATTCCGTAACGGTGCATCTGTGAAGTGCAACACCACCACAGCCTCTACAGCAGCACGCAAAGCAAGTGGCGGGCAGGCAACACACCGCACGAAGATTTTACGATTCAACTGTAACGGACTACAGAGCAAGATCGAGAAGATAACAGTCTTCATGGGGCGGCATCGAATATTAATAGCTGCGGTCCAAGAGACAAAGTTGCATGACAATTCAACACAGTTGAATTGTGTCGGATACAACGTGCACCGTCGAGATCGCGAGCGAGATAATGGTGTTGGCTTAGCATTCATCACGCACCAAACTGTGCAGTATCGTCTTATCGAAGAGACATCGACCGAAGGGATACCATCCGTGAAAACCGTATGGTAGTTGGCGACTTTAATGCGCACACGATATTTGGCATTCAAGCCTGTCGAATGATCGTAGGGGCACACACTTGGCTAAGCAGATAAGCGATTCGACCTTCTGCACAATGAACGACGACGCACCCACCAGGATTATGGGCAGCTGCAGTAGCTCGCCTGACATAATTATCGTAAGCGCATGTCTGATAAACAGCATAACTTGGCGACCTATGTTGACATGGGCATCATACCGCCTGCCCATAATCATCTCGATTGATAAACCTGCTGACTTTGCTCCCGTGCTTCACGGCACCTATGTCAACTTCTCTAAAGCTTATTGGAAAGGCTTCGCGGATGTTACTGAAAGCATTTTTATTGCCCTTCCCACACCAACCGATGCTCATCGTTCCGCAGGGTTGTCACTGCTGCTACAGCCCGCTTCATCCCAGCTGGATAGATTTCGGATCCCCGTCCGAATTTTCCTGCTGAAGATGCTGTCTTAGTCGATGAGCGTGATAACCTTCGTCAGGCCGATCCCGGAAATCCCCGTATCAGGGATCTCAACACGGAGATTCGGAAACTAATGAACGTACATAAGCGTAAGAAGTGGGAAGAGCATCTGAAGACCGGTAACTTCGCCTGTGACGTGAGCAAGCTTTGGTCAACCATGAGGTCATCTGCAGTTCACACTGCATCCTCCGGCGGACAAAGCCAAGCGTCAAGGGGCCAGAAGGCTGCACAAACTGCCAACACCCAGTGTGCCTCTTATTTTCACCAGCGGCGAAGTGAGGGTAGCCATCGGGAAGGAGAAAGCCTCCAAAGCCATTGGACCCGACGGAATTTGCATGCTGATGCTGAAAAATTTGGGGCCTCCACTTCACCTACGGAATCCTCAGCAACGCTTTTCACCAGTTGGACAAAGGAGGTCAGACTGCAACTGGGTATTCACGTCGATGAAGAACCAATTCCGACGGTGAGCAAACCGAAGATCCGGTTCTAAATTACGCAGCACCACTGTTGTCGCCGTGGACTAGTAGCACGCCGTGGACGAAGCTGCGGGCAAAATAAAACACAGCACTCCCGGACAGCGACCTGATGCCTTCTGTTGTCGCCACGAGATCATCTACATGACAAGGCTAAAATGCTCCCCGTTAGGGAGCATAACATAATGCTCTGCAAGCAATTCCTTGTATGGTGTCACCGACTTGGGCACCCGAAAATACATCTGCTTGCGGAAGAACTCTCGCCACGGCACATCAGAAGGCATCTATATGAACTGAGGGACGAAGTCCAGAGGCTCATAAAACAAATTCTAGACCCGACAGCATACCGAAGGCCTTGAACGGCATTCACAGGGAGCCAGTCTCGAGTTATATAGACTCTCGACCTGTGAATGCCGTTCTGGGCACACAACCACCAGACGTGGACGAGACAAAGCTTCGTCTGCCTCGGGAGACTCGATCCACAATTGCCCAACTTCGCTCTGGCAACTGCAGCAGGTGAAACTCGTACCTGAGCATAATAATTACAGATGAGCCAAACGAATGCCCGACATGCGGAGAAACGCCCCATGTCTCGGAAACATCTATTGGCATGCCTACTGAACACCACCGTGCTAACGCCTGTGTCCTTATGGACAGACCCCATCGAGGCTGCACGCTTCCTGGGTCTTCCGTTAGTAGATCTTGACGGCCACGATTGAGGGACTAACCGATCCGGGCGGGGTTGTTGTAGCCATTACAACTACTAGACGGGTAGTTTAGTTGATCTACATACATATATATGTACGTAGTATCTGCGAAAAAGCGAAAAAAAAAACATAAAAGACAACTGTAATTTCAAAGTCCCCCTGTAGGTATTTATAATAAGGCTTAAAGTTCTATCCGGATTTCTTCAAAATCGGTATAACCCGGGAATACGAATATCTGTTTAAAAAAAAAATCCGCTTATGCGGATATCCTAATAACAAAAAGCACAGATATTAACCGNGCCATTACAACTACTAGACGGGTAGTTTAGTTGATCTACATACATATATACATATGTACGTAGTATCTGCGAAAAAGCGAAAAAAAAACATAAAAGACAACTGTAATTTCAAAGTCCCCCTGTAAAAAAACCGCTTATGCGGATATCCTAATAACAAAAAGCACAGATATTAACCAGATATTCGAAAATCTGAACATACGGATATTCCCAGCCCTACTTTCCATTTAAAATGAGTAAATTTATACTGTTTGTACTACAAATGTGTCAATGTGAAATGAAAAACAAAAAACAGCTCGGTTGAAAATATACAAAATTTGCACTTTTTCATACATATTACTGTCAATAACCCCTTAAATGCTGCTCAAGTACTTTTTCACAGAAAAAAAAATAAAACCCATTTTTTTGTAGAACTGTTTTTCGTCGAGCGAAATTCGTTCATAACTGACTGGCTTTTACGGCAACAACAACAACAACAAGGAAATCCAGCAATTTGTGAAGATTCGTGGAGTGTTTTTGGCAATCGCCAGAGACTAATCTCTATTATAATATATACCTAAACAATACCGTAATACTTTATTATAAGCAACAACAACGAAGCATTGCACTGCACCAGTAGTAGCGGTGGTGATCGAATAAAGTACTCAGAGAATAAATTCCAGCGAATGTGACAACAATAAAAACAATATCAGCAGCGGCAGCAAAATCAGCGGTCGAAATAATTCGAAAATAGTCATAATTGTGTAAAGAAAAAGATACACAAGTGTGTATTTATGTACAACACAGCCAGACGCCCCGCACTACACTGCCCATCGCACATTTTGGACCGTCGTTTATTTGCTCGTTAGTACATAATTTACTCGTTGAGGTTTCCCGACGAACGTGTTTATTAGCACAGCTGTATCGCTGCAGGTAATAAACGAATCGTGAGAGAGAGAGAGATAGGGAGATTTGCTATAGAGAGAGTGACACACAGACTAAAAAAAAAAACAAAATTTAGTAAATGATCGATTTTATGAGAGCGTATTACTCGGTATGTTAAATAATACTATATAAGACAAAACTGGTTTCTGTTACAAGAGAAAGGAAAGCATAAAAATAGAAAGAAAAAATATCGCTTAACAACAACGAAAAACACGGTTGCTATCTGTGTCCGCATATAGAAAATTCTCTTCCAAACGGTTCATCAATTATTTGAAAAGCAAAGCAAAGCTATAAAATTTTCTTTTGTTTTAAGTTGCTTGATTTGGGTGCAATTATTTAGCGTATTTTTTAACGCTCAATATAGAAAAAAGTAAGTGCCTGCAAAAAAGAAGAGCAAACGGCAAACAGAGAGCGAGGGAGTTGCAGAGAGATCGTGATTAATTGAGTGTAAAAGGTCGGAGAGTGATTGCGTCTCAGNCGTGAGAGAGAGAGAGATAGGGAGATTTGCTATAGAGAGAGTGACACACAGACTAAAAAAAAACAAAATTTAGTAAATGATCGATTTTATGAGAGCGTGAATATACTCGGTATGTTAAATAATACTATATAAGACAAAACTGGTTTCTGTTACAAGAGAAAGGAAAGCATAAAAATAGAAAGAAAAAATATCGCTTAACAACAACGAAAAACACGGTTGCTATCTGTGTCCGCATATAGAAAATTCTCTTCCAAACGGTTCATCAATTATTTGAAAAGCAAAGCAAAGCTATAAAATTTTCTTTTGTTTTAAGTTGCTTGATTTGGGTGCAATTATTTAGCGTATTTTTTAACGCTCAATATAGAAAAAAGTAAGTGCCTGCAAAAAAGAAGAGCAAACGGCAAACAGAGAGCGAGGGAGTTGCAGAGAGATCGTGATTAATTGAGTGTAAAAGGTCGGAGAGTGATTGCGTCTCAAAAAAAAAAACTATTAAAGAGTCACCACAAAGAGAGCACGAGAGAAGAGTACAAATTGCAAACTTGTTTCGTTCGACTTTGTGCTGATATGTCAATAAAAAACAAACAACAACAATAGTCACAGCAACGCATAAGCAGTCAGGCAGCAACAACAAATGATACAAAGCACGTACTAAACTGAAATTAAAGTAGCAGTAGCAGCAACACGAGCACAACAACAACGACAAAAGCAAGGCAGCACTACCTAACCAAATAGCCAACCAGCCAGCCAGTCAAGCAACCGCTTGAAAACAACTCGTTTCGATTTCGTTTCACAGATACCTTTCGGACGTCGATAAAGATACCTTTAATTTAAAATGAACTTAAATTAACATATACTATATATGTTTGCGTCGCGTACCACACATAATCAAGTGGAGAGAGTGATTGAAGTGTGATCGATCGAGCAGTAAAGTTATTTAGTTTTTTAAAAGTCAAGAAAAATTCACGCTGAAAACACATAGCGAAAATTGTACAAATCATCGTCGTAATATATAAATGATACATACATACATATATGCAGTCATATGAACTAAGTGCGTGAAGAAGAAAAAGTGTAACGACAAAAGAAAAGAAGAAACCTAGATTGTGCGTTGAAATTGATCAAAATTTTGCAGAAACAAGAATTTAAAGTGAGTTTGAAATCAAAAACTAAAGCAGTAGTAAATGCTGTAGATTCGTGAAAAGTATTTCGAAAAGAGCAAAAGAAGCAACAAAAAAACCCACAATCAGAAACCATTGAAACCACACGATCCCCAGAGCAACAAGAGTAGAAACAACAACAAATAACTTGTAGAAACGAGCAAAAATTCCGCTTATATTAAAATGAAACGTTGACAAAAACAACAGGAAAAATAGTAGAAGAAGAAGCGAAAAACGCAGCGCTTTTGTTTTTGTTGGATTTTTTCTTTCATTTTGACATTCTACAAGTGTGTGCATATTGAATTAAACATATAAAAACCATACACAGATGATTTTTAGCAAAACCAACAAGAACAACAACAGCAGCTGAAATTCAAAGACAACGTCGCAAGGGACACCACCACTGTAGTGCTTATATACATATATATATAAAACTAGCCAGGCATATATGTATATATATATATATATATATAATATATATACACATTGACCAAGCGAAAACACTGACTTCGACAACGGCAACGGCAAAATCAGCGAACATATATATTGTTGTCTCGCTTTGCCACACCAAATGTAGTCATTGACAAATGGAGATACGTACAAAGTATCTTGCAGATACCACAACTGTTCGTACTTTCATCAGCCGTAGTAGCAGCAGCAGCAACAGTAGCAATCGTAGCCATAGTACTAGCTATAGCTATTATATTAGTAGAGACCAAAGCAGCAACAGTGGTGGCACTAAATACCAACAAAAACAACACGTGAATCTACACCACAACAGCAGCAACAACAACGAAACCTACCATTAATATAATCACAAGAATAACAATAGCCAATACCATTACACAAATATAAAGAAGAAATAGAAAATATAGCAGCCCATAGCAGCCCATAGCAGCAGCAAATTCCTCCAGTCTACCTTAACCTAATTAAATAAATTCATTATTATTTAATAACAGAAACATATGTAACTATATTCATTTGTATGGAGAACATACCCAAAACTACCAGTGGAATAAACGTGTCATTTTAACTACACATATAAAGCTGATTTTTACCCGTGCAAAAAAAAAACAAAAAACAAAATAAAAGAACATTAAAAAACTATCACGTCAAACGACGGTGAGCAACAGCCAGTCAACAAGGGCAAAACCCATACACAATTAGGCCACATAAGACAGTGACGGCAACTGCGAAAAAGCCCCCCTGATATAGACAGTAAACAGATCAGCAGGCACATAGCACCAGCAGCCGTGGTGCTTGTGGCTTTGTTAATTTTGTATTGCACATCGCGTACACGCACGCACACATTAACAAAAGGCGATCCACAGTCGTCGAATTAATTGACAAAAAATAAAAAATAAGGCAAATTATTCGTCGCACTTTTGCTTTATAGAATCTAAAAGCATATAAGATATACCGTATAAGCAACCATAGTACATATACAATGAACTGTATTAAGAAATTTGTACAACAATAATCAAAGTAAACACAATCTTCAAACATTGAAAAGGAAAATTCTAGTACTAACCACACGTCCTAAGAGTTATATTGTTGAAAACAAAAACTACTATAGTGGCCAATAACAACAACTCTTCCACGGTTGATGCTTCCTAAAAATAAAAATAAAATAAAAAAAACCCATTAAAAATCTCGAACAAACGAAAGGACTTCCACAGACGTAAACGAAACCGCCACGTAACACCAGCGAGCACTACTTAGCAGACCTAGTTTGAAGGCATCGGCGCTATTTGAAAGTTAACATATCGGTAAAGCCTTTACTATTGTGTTTTCCGTTTGACTTGATCCTCAAACGTCAAACCCATTTTACGTTCAGCATTCCTAATTTGATAAAATTTAAAAGGATTTCGTTTTTACGACAACTCTATAACAAATCGTTTTATTCCTTCGTTTGTTTCGATTTTACGACGTGTGTACAAAGCGT